ACGGTGGGCCATAAAACAAGCCTCACCTTTTAAATAAATGGACAGAAATAAAACAAATTATGATCCCTGACCACAGTAGCAGGGGGCAGGGTGGAAAAGTTAATAACACACTCCTGAGTGACCAGCAGATTGAAAAAGAAATCAAAAGAGAAATCAGGAAGTACTTCAAGATGAATGAAAATGAACCACAGTAACGAGACGTACAACATAAGACTAATGGATACATCTTCAGAGTGCCAAGGGGAAAGGTATCGCACACCTGAAGGAGAAAGAAAGATCTCAAATCATAACCTAGCGGACAAAGCTGCTATCAAGCTCCACGAAATGCGCCCAAAATTAGAAAAAGGAGAATCTGCTTCCCCTGCAGGTAAAGAAATAACTGAGGAACAAAATGAGACAGCAAATGGATTTAGTGAGATGAACTCAAAAGAGCAAGCTTTGCAAACTGGGGGGGTCTCAGGACTTCAAAACAGGGCAGAAAACAAAAACTCTGAAAAGACCTAACCCTGTGATACGGACAGACGCTGAAACTGCATTTAGCAAATTCAGCCTCTAGGAAGAGTTGTGCTTTTGTGTTTTCTTTTTAAATCACAGGTTCTGAAGAGGCATATTAGATGAGGTAAATGATTTCAACAAGGATGTTTGTCAGGTTCTACTGCACTTCATTATGCAGTATATCACATTATCAGCTTTACTGATGTTACTCAGACATTTTCTTGCTTGAGCATCCACAGGAAAGGTTTCCAAAAACACATGCTGTTACAACCTGGTATGCACATACAAAAGAATGTGGACCCTTACCTCACACCATATATAAAAATTAACTGAAAATGGATGGAAGACTTAAGTGTGAGAGATAAGGCTAAAACTTTGAGAAAACAGGTAAACCTTTGCAACTCTGCATTCGGCCATGGATTCTTAAATATGACACCAAAACCATAAGCCACAAAAAAAACTACATTGGACTTTATCAAAATTAAAAACTTTTGCCTGGCATGGTGGTGCACACCTGCAAACCGCCCCCCCAACCCAGCACTTGGAAGACTGAGGCAGGAGGATCCCTGCAAATTCAAGGCCAGCCTGAACTACATAGTGAGTTCATGGCCAACCTGAACTACATAGTTAGACTCTGTCTCAAAAACAAATAACAAAAGAAAGTTTTTAAACTTATGTACTTCAAAAGATATCATCAAGAAAATAGCTGGGTGTGGTGGTGCATGCCTGTAATCCCAGCACTCGGGAGGTTGAGGCAGGAGGATCATTGCGAGTTTGAGGCCAGCCTACGTTACAAAGCGAGCTCAAACCCAGCCTGAACTTCATAAAGACAAAAAAAAAAGAAAAAAAGAAAAAAACAGAGAGACAATCCACAGAAGAAAATATTTACAAATCACAGTTGATAAGGGATGTGTGTTTAATTATGTAAAGAACTTCCACTCAGTAAAGAGAAATAACCCAAGTAAAAATAGGCAAATAATCTGAAGAGACATTACTCCAAAATAAACCAAGCCAAAACACACAGGGAAAGACGGTCAGTGTCACTGGGGATCATGGAATCCTGATCAAAATCGCAGAACCTCCTAGGATGGTGGGAACGAAGTCAGGCGACAACTGGCTGGAAAAACAAAGTAAGCCAGCATTGGCTGGGAGGTGAGCTCAGCGCCTGCACACCTGCAAGGCTCTGGGTTCCGTACACAGTGCTGCAAAACAAAAAAAAATTTAAAACAATTTAAGAAACAAAATAAATCAGGAGTTGAAAGGATGTATCGAAATCAGTGGGAGGATGAAACACTGCAGCCACTTCGAAAAACTGCCAGTTTACCAAAATGCTGAAGCTTACAGCTCAGCAATCCCTCAGCTAACACGTGCACACCCAGAGAAATGACAGCAAGTGTTCACACAAGAAGTTGTACGCACGTCTACAGCAGCGCTGCTCATAATGGGCAGAGGGAGAAATAACCGAGGTGTCCAGTGCTGACAGACAGGTCAAGAACACGGCACCGTGCAGTGGGCCAGTGCTCATCACGACACAGGCCACCACGTGGATGACCCTTAAATGCGTTACTCCACACACGAGACGCCCGTGTCAAAAGACATATATTATTCCACTCTGTGAAGTCCAGAATAGGAAATCCAGAGATAGAGGGTAGTGGCCGCTTAGGGCTGGGGTTGGGATATGTGCAGATAGGGAATAATAGCTAAGATGCAAGGTTTTTTTGAGATGAAGGAAAAGGGGCCGGGGATGTAACTCAGTGGCACAAGTGCCTACCTGGCAAGTGCAAGGTCCTGAGTGTGATTCCCGGTACAAAAAAAAAAAAGATGAAGAAAAATGTTCTAAAATTAGTAGTTTGCAAATATCAGTATTCTACACAGCACTATAAATTTTAATTGCATAGTGTGTAAATTATACCTCAATAGACATTCAAGTTTTTAAGTTGCTGATGAAGTTTGCTCATATTTGAATCCTGCAACTTTTGTAACTTCTGAGAATCTTCTTGAGTTACCACGCCCTCCCCATACATACTGACGAAGGATTTCAGGAAAGTAAATGGCTGGGTTGTTACAGTCGACATGGAAATGAGTCTCGGATTCTGTCAGAGCACAGACTGAACAGCACAGGAGCAGGTACAGCCTCAGTGCCTGTCCCTGACGCTCTCGGGTACCCACACACTTCTGTTAAGCTACCATGCACCAGGAACCTCGGGCTGTCACCCTCCCTGGCCTCGGCTGCCTGGCCCACCTCCTCTGGCCGGGGACTTCACTGCTGTGAATTTGCTCGTGACTGACAGGTGCCATAAGGGACAGATGCCAGCCATATTCCTACCTCATGAGACCAACAGTAAGGTGAGAGACAGAGCTGGGATGTCAGCCCAAGCGACAAGAGCAATGCTTTGTGGAGAAGATGGTCGCTATGGCACCACCGATTAGAGATGTGGTCATACCTGTGCCGTCTCTGCGCAGAGAAAACACATTTGTGCACAGTGAGTTACACAAAAAACAATGTCAAGTCACAACTGTAACCCTAGGCCCCCTACTAGAGATACATAGTATCTTTGGGCAGGAAACTTCTCTGGACCTCCATTTCACTTACATATAAATTAAGTAAAGCCCTAAGATTTCTTTCAAGTCCAAAATTTTACAATTCTAGGTCATAAGCCACTTGACATCTGAAAAGAGAGAAGAGAAATAAACTCTAGTTTTGACCAAATGCGAACAATAATAAAAAGGCCCCAAACCACTACATACTTTCAAAATCACTAGACGTGTTCGGGTGGGGAGTAGTCATGCCAGTGTAAGTTCAGCAGCATCATAACTCTCTCACTTCATAAAAATGTATGTGAACTGCCAGTGAACGGGCCCTCCCCTTCCCTTCTAAAACCATGACTTCTACGTCAGGTCACGTGGCTAACCATGAACAACTCGAAGTGCAGTTACGAACAGTAAGCCAATCAAATCCAGGAAAAATGTTAAACATTCAGTGCCCATATTTAAATGCTCTAAAGGGTGTGAGTGAACTTGTGCTTTAAGTGCACCAGGCCATAAACATGTTAAGGTTCTTCAAAACAGGATCCTGCTTTCTAGCTTATGTTTGGATATTTTATGGTTTTATTTATACAGTACACCCTAATTTCATTGTTCCTCAAATACCAACTGCAAAGTAATGCTACTTTCATTGCTACAAAAGTCCATGTTTAAAAAACATCATCTATTTATCTACTTGACTAAAAGGTGCGAAACTGTTACACTGCCGTCAATGAAAGAATTATCAAACTGTAAACCACAGTACTATAGGATCTTGTTTTTTGGCGGGAGGCTTAGGAGGGCATGAAATCGGATGAATATTTAAAAAATTGATGGTTCATAACTACCTCTGGATCCTCAGATATCTAGCTTAGAATGTTACTTTCATGAGCAATATTCCCATCATGAAAAGTCTCTTTATGAGCCTGTACTTTGGCTCGAGCTCGTTATTAAGCAGTAGAAAAATGGGCTTCAAATGTTTGCACTTCCCAACACTGTCAGGTTATAACTATGACTTTGCAGATCTTGGCTGAAGATGTACCCCTAGCTAACTACTAGAAAAAGTCTGAAGGCACTTTTGGTGTTTAGTTAGTTGAAACTGAATGGAAGTTTTATTCAATAGGTTCATGCTTGAGTAATGAAACATTAAGTTTCTGGTATTTTTCTACTATTCAAAGTGTGTTTATTCTGGTGGTGCTGGGAAGTGAACCCAGGGCCTCGCACATGCTACGCACTCTACCCGAGCCACATGCTCGCCAATGTTCTCCTACTAAATCAATACACATATACATAAAATACCTATCATGGAGAGTTGTCTACAAATTGTCAAAAACAAGAACACATTAGAGACATTATATAAAAGTGTTTACATTTTAATAGAAAAATAACTATGACAGCTAAATATACATGGTACATTTAATTACTGAAAATTATTTTTAGCGGCATTCTAGTGATAATTCATTGAAGCACTTGCGTGCAGCCAACCATCTTAAAGAACAGTGATGCAACACTATTAAAGTGCCTAAGAAGCAAATTTATTTTAACATTTATACCCAAAGCACGTTTGAAACATACGTCATGTGAACAGTAAGGCAGAAGCACAGCCGGGGTCACAACGCAGTCTGCCTCAGTGTGTGCCTTACAGTTTGTCACAAGTCGGAAGTTACAAGCAGTGTTCGCTGTTGATAGCGTTATGTGTAATTCTGGCAACAGATAAAATGTCTTCATTCTTATGAATTCTCTAAAGTCATGTCAGCCTACAAGAAACATCTGATTATCATTTTCAATGACAATTTTTTCAGTGAAAATTGATGAGTAATGTCTTTAGACTTTTAAAACAAGGTAAATCATATTCATTATACACAGAAAATAGAAAGTGTAACATATTTTTAATTTTTAGAAACAAAAGCACTCTCTTTGCAGTAGTGAATGAAAGTACCGAAAGGAGTATCTTAGCCAACTGGTATGTGCTCACCCCTCAGGAGACTGACAAGTGGAAGACTGAAGCGGAACTGCAGAGCCAGGTGCCCTCGGCAGCAAGCCCACGCCAGCACAGCCGGGAGCGGCGCGGCCGCAGACTGCAGAGAGCCCAGGGGACAGCACACCCGCGCCCGTGCCACAGCTTCTCACACGCTCAACTGCGGCTCATGTTCATGCTTAATTCTGCTCCCTGAAAACCAACTTTTAAAACTCGCTCCACGGTAAAATGAACAAGCGTGGAGCCACGCACACACCTGTCCCCGTGGCCTCACACATGGCTCTCACTTATTCACACAACAAAAAAGAAAGCAAACATTGGTTTTGGAAGGCGAAACCCATACAGAAATCCATCTTTTGACCACTGAAATCAGGGACACACTACTACTGTTAATTACCGAAAACACTTAGGGGCACAAACCATTTTTTTCTAAAACACTCAATTCATTTTTTTAATAAATATTTGTAAGTTATCCATGTACTTTCATGTGAGCTTTGTTATTCATGCTTCTCCATTTTTTCCTGCTCTTACTTCAAAGTCTCATACATTTCTGGAAAATCTCAAATATCCCTAGCATCTTAGGTGACCCACAAAAGGGATGACTCAGCAAAATGTATTTTCACCCATGTAGTAAGTCCATTGTAAAGTTAATTTCTCCTAATTTGTGTAAAATATTATCACTCATCTATGAAAAACAATAATCATTTTGATCTTACTAGACAAACACTTCTGATTACTTATTAGTGTTAAAAAATTGAGTAAAAATTTTTTTTTGTCTTTTTGAGACGGTCTCGCTATGCAGTTCAGGCTGGCCTAGAACTCACTTTGTAGCCCAGGCTAACCTTGAACTTGCAGTTATCCTCCTGCTTCAGCCTTCTTCAGCTGGGATTACAGGCATGTTCTACCACACCCAGCTATAAATTTTATATTCATATTTAAACTACAGGATACCTATAGACAAAGCAGCATTTATTAAAATATAATATACACTTAATTTATACTTAATTCAGCTAAGATTTAAACACTTTTTATCTTTAATTTTTAAATACACACATGATTATTTTAAAACATCTATACAAAACTGAAATATGACACTCAAGCTAGACTGTGATTTTAAAGAAACCTCCAACAGGTAGTAATGTACAATGTGGAAAACTCCAATAAAATGTACATATAATTCTTGCGGCAATGTTAGTCCTATAACACAGAGCGATATTTACAAGCGAACATGATCCAAACAGCACACGCAGACTCAGGATAAGTGAACACACGGACGCGCACCGCCAGCCGCACTTGGTCTCCACGGCAACAGATTATTTCTTCACAGAAAGGGGAGCTGCATGAGAAAGAAAATTCACTCCATGGAGGTGACCACAGGGTTTACTTTCCTATGTCCAACTAAGTATTTTTAAATAAGTATTTAAATATTTTAAAAGCCTGTGTCTGCTATCAATGGCTCAGTAATTTTGGTTGAGCTATGCAGACTATAAATTATTTCCACACAACCTATAAATTTAAAAAATGCCACTAGATAAGCTCAGAGATCCTCAACTGCACCCGAATCACTAGGAAAACTCCCCCAACCAATCTAGGGCTACACCTCAGACCAATAGAGCCACACCCTCAGTAAGGAGGGAGCCACTGTAAAGTGCCCCAGGGTCTTGCTGTCATCCAGTAACTGCCAGACTGCCAGTGACTCCTGCCAGTCTCCTTGGGCAGATTCCTAAGCCCAAACACTTCGGCCTCCAGAAAGCATAGCTTACCGAAGACACGTGGCGAACGCGCGCCTTGCATTTCTATACACGAAGTGGATCGGGAAACCCTTAAATGTGTGCCCATCTGGCACAGCCCTCCTGATGGCATCCTGAAACTCCTCGTTGCCCGCAGATATGCTCGTTGTGCGCTCAAACTCATAGGAGGCCAGCGCTGGCGACAAAAGGTAGGAAAGCTGATCTTCCCACACGGTGGTGAGGCCTAGATCCTGTAGCAATCAAAAAAGAAAAAGAGCAACATTCTAATATTTTAAAACCAAATAAATACAAATTTTGATTATTTTAATGGATGCCAGGATTTTTAGACACTATTATAATTTTGCAACCTTCCAATTAATTATTCAATGAATTCACAGAAATAAACATAGAAGGAACTAACAGATTTCATTTCTTAGCAATAACCAAATGGAAGGCTTCGTGTCCTTCACTTTAGAAATATCTACTAAAGGAGACCACATGGAATACTCCTAATTTGGAAAACAGGATCCATGAATTTTAAACATACTCTTATTTATGAGTTTAGCAAGACTGAATCTGTATACACTCACCTGCAGTATGAAGAAATTCACTGTGCATATATTTAAACTAGAATACCTACTGAACATTTCATATCTAGTCCATCACCTTAACCACTCAGCCACGACTACAGATATGAGCACTTCATATCTAAAAGGCACTAACTGCTGCACTGCGGAAGACAAGCAGAAGATACCAGGCCACCAGGGAGCTCAGCACGTGTTCTGTGGCCAGCACAGCCAGGCATAGTGGCGCACGCCTATAATCTCAGCACTCGGGAGGCTGAGGCAGGAGAATTGCTGCAAGTTCAAGGCCAGCCTGGGCTACACAGTGAGTTTAAAGCCAGCCTGACCTACATAGCAAGACCCTGTCTCAAAAAAAAAAAAAAAAGCCAGCAGAATTCCACCTAACACCCCATGAATGACTGATGTCCAGCGACACGATGTAAAGAACCACCCAGTCACAATCACTAAAAAGTTTCGAAATCCTTACTATTCTGATCATCAGAATAGATCTTCATGATTTCAGCTGGTCACAAGCAATCTCAAAGGTCCATGATCGACTAAGTACACTCTGCCTGTGGTAAAATGTGAATCCCACTTACTGGGTTCAGGTTCCACTAACCGGCATCTATTTCAACTAGATGGATAGGTGGAAAATGATATCCTCATCCTGGCTTTAATTTGCATTTCCCAACCACCAATAGAACCAAGCCTCTTGTTTATCAGCCATGGAGCGTAAATTTTTCAAATGTAAGCAATCCTGCTTTCATCTGCAGCAGAACCTTAGGAAACAAAGCTGCCAGGCAACACAAGTGAGCATAGTGGGGCATTCACTTCCAGTAGTGTAATGGACTAGGGCCCCAACCAACCCCATTGCTGGGAAATTACTACGAATGTTAGATTTTCCAAAACTGCTATTTAAGTGCTTTACCAGTTGGCAAATGAGTAAAGAATATGTTAGAGGCCAAAGCTATATACTTGGAACTCAAGAGCATACATTGTATCTGTATGTCTTTGCCAGCTTCAAGGCAAACAGAAAAGAGAGCTCACCCAAGCAGGGCAGTCTAACAGGGAATGCCAGGGAATCAGAAATGAATCTTCCATAGGAATTTTAGGCTTCAGTCCTTTGTGGGTTATATGTATTGCCACATAAATTATTCTACCTCAAGGATTCAGTCTCTCGATAGTTTCTCTTGCTCTTTTTTTTGCGGGGGGGCGGATTTTGGTATTGCAGATCTAACCCAGGACGTAGCACATGCTAGACAGGCATTCTAGTACTGGATTGTACCCCCATATATGCTCCTAAAATGTATTACTCTCTTCCTTTTTGATTAGTGCTCTTTATCTCTTCCTCAAGGTGCTTTATAATGAAATGCACATGACTAATAAGGAGAATGAAAGGAAACGAAGCCAGAGTGAAGACATCACTTTACACTCACCCACTTGTCCCATTACTTATAATGGGAAACAAAACGAAGTGAAACAAACCAGGGGGAAGAAAACAAGAAAGAGTAACCTCGTATTTCTAATGGTGCAGTTATTTGAATAAACTATTTCGGAAAGAGGAAATCCAAATGGTGGTACCGTATTCATGAGAAGCCTGACTCTCAGATGTGAATCCATCATTCTTCATTTCTAGTAGGAAGTAGTAACTCTAGAACCAACAGCAAACTTGGAAAATTTTCAGTCTCAGAACTTAACTCTCATGGACGTAGAGTCCATGAAAAACGGCTTTCAAAACCATAACCTTCATAAAGGTAGGGAATGGATTTGCTATTTTCAGGGCTAGAATAATGACTGGAATGACCACATACACTTAACAAAAGCTTAAACAAACACATGACAACAAGCATGACGCTGCAATGACTTCCAGGACTCACCTTCCTGTGCTCGGACACCAGGAGCCTCAGCTGCATTTCAATTTCATTACTGGTCACTGATGCGTCCACTGTGGACGCGCACAGCGGTGGGAAGGGCGGGAGGGAGGTTGTAGCTCCTGGAGCACAAACAGATTTAATTGCTTCCTCACTCATGGGTTTCCATTTGGACTCATCATTCAAATCAAATACACAGGTTTCCACAGCATCAGAGGGCTGGCAATTGCCCAGGAACATCTGATGATTGAAAACACAACCAATTGTTCGGTACGGGTGCAGCGGTTTGGGTTGCTCAGCAAGTGGAGGCTCATCAGGATTGGTAGGTTTGTGGATGTACCTGCAAAATTAAATCATAATTTCAAGGAAGGAGAATTTAAGTTATAAGCCAACATCCTACCATAGGGAAAAAGTGTGCTCTAACTCGTAAGAGGCTACAGCTTTCAACCTACTTCCTAGGTCTAGAGTTTAATACTTGTTTTTTGTATTTCACACTTGGATTACTCTGTTAATTATGTGGTACATCCTGTAATACAGAAACCAATTGTACTCCTCTGACTCCATAATATACTGTCTATTGTAAAGATATTTTAAATTGGGCATGATGGCACATGGGGGTAATCCCAGCACTCTGGAGGCTGAGGTAGGAGGATCACCTCACGTTTGAGGCCTGGACTACACAGCAAGACGCTGTCTCAAACAACAAAAACAACAACAAAATTTACTTCAAGTAACACAAGATAATTCAGCTACACGTTACTAGAGACAAGCAATGTTATCAACCAGGCAGAACGAGGATGCAGGGAAAGGTGCGGAAGGCTCAGGGATGCACTGTAAGAACACTCAGCATTTAAAGCAACACAGACACAATGCATTAATTACTGTAACTGTCCTACTAACCTGTTTCGAAACTCTGTTTTACTATTATTATTATTTTTCTCTTTAAAACAGAGCAAGAGGAAGGAAAACGGCCAACCACTCGAAAGAGAGTAAGCACTGGAAATGGCACAACACAAGCTAAGGAGTGCTTTTAGGGGAGAGGGGCACTTGGCTCTCAGACCTCACGGCAGGGACAGATAGTGTCCAGCGGACTCTCTGACAGGGAGATGGTGCCCACATTATAGTTTCAAAGACAAACCATGATTTACAACTTGAACTCTATTTCAGCCTGAAGGACAACCATCCGAAGAAAAGCACAAAATTACAATTATTATTTTTTTACCGATATCATGTTGGTAATGAATTTTAAGGGTACAAATATTCTTAGAGCTTGTTTACTTAGCATCCACAAGTGAGTTTTCTTTCTTTTCTCAGTGGTACTGGGGACTGAACCCAGAGCTTTGCACTTGTTAGGCAAGTGCTCTCCTATTGAGTTTCATCCCCAGCCACTTTTAAAATAGGAAATTGCAGGGCTGGGGATTTAGCTCAGTGGCAAAAGTGCCTGCCTGGCAAGCGCAAGGTCGTGAGTTCGGTTCCCGGTACCGGAGAAAAACCAAAAAAAAAAAAAAAGAAATTGCTGAAATGGTTAGGCTGGCTTCAAACTAGTAATCCCCTGCCTCAGCCTCCTGAGCAGTACCTAGGATTACAGGTGTGTGCCACCATATCCAGCTTGAAGTAACTTCTTATATACTCTTCAGAAAGACTATAATAACTAACATTATAAACATGCACCTGTAGGTATCATCAAATAAATACTGTAAAATTCTAAATATTTGGGGCTGGGGGTATAGCCAAGAGGTAAGAATGCTTGTCTAGCATGCATGAAGCCCTGAGTTTGATTTTCAGCACTGAAAAGCTAACTAAAGACACTCTGCATTTTGCTACCCTTATGAACTCAGGTGACTCACCTGTGTCCTGTCAAACTCTCCCAGAAGGTGATGGTGCCGTCAGTCCCACAGGTCATGACCCAGGCATGCGGCACCCCTTTGGCCTTAGTACCAACACAAACAAAAGCTTCCAGACCGTAGCCAAGGAGGAGGCTGCACAGGAGGTTAGCATGGTCTTCACAATCACCCTCGAGGAGAAAATGAACCAAAATCAGTATTTCTTCACCTGACTTCCTTCCTCGATCAAGATTTTAAATTACAATGAAAATTACAATGAAATTACAATGAAAATTTATTAGCAACTTTTTAAACCTTTAATCATTAGTCCAATTATTAAGCTGAATCAACTGGGAAACAAACTAATTTTAGAAGAGCCTAAATTATTTTACATAGTGCTCACAAATCCCAGTCATACAGGGATACTTTGACTCAAAAAGTTACAAAGGGATATTTAAGTTCAAAAATCTACAAAGAACTCATACCATCAAAAGAAAAACAGGAAGATTTTAATAGCTGAATAAAAAAACTACACAAGCTGATAAATCATGTAATTAAATGGAAAAACACTCAAGTTAAACCAATGAGTCATAGCATCTGCATATGATAACTTAAGGAAATACACTCAGAAAAGTAACTGAGAGAAAAACCAATAAAATGACAACAATGGCTATTAGTGTAGGTTATACATAATGTCCTATTTTCCAAATTCTCTTTGTTTCTTTTTTTGGCTCTGGAAATTGAACTCAGGACCTTGTGCTTGCCAGGCAGGCACTGTGCTGCTGAGCTATATCCCTGGTCCCTCCAAATTCTCTTTGATACGGCTAGATTACTTTCACAACTTAAAAACAAGTATAAAGACTGCACAAAGGCAATATCTGATACTATGTGCTATGAAAAAATAATTAAAATACTCAACACTATGGCTATAATTATGTAAGAATAGTAGCAATAATTACTGAGTGTTAGTATGAAAAATTTCTTTCCCTCCAAAATGTGTGCATTAAAGGCTCTTTCTTTTTAAATTAACTGAAAGACAAAACAGAGTTTTACCCTTATTATGCTGACTTTATAAAAAAGTTTGGGGCAAACGTACATCCATTACTTTTATCCTGAGATTTCTGTCATAAAAACAAAATTCAAGAGAATAAAAATATTCAATGCCAAAATTCATTTATGATAATATCAAAAGACTACGAGCAAGTGTGTTACAGGTAAGTAGACCTTGTATTCAAAACAATTTCAAAGAGTCATTTGGAGATGGAAATCATAAAGAAGGCAGCACAAAAAATGCTCACAGTATGTCAAAGTACAAAGCAGGACACAAAATGTCATTTGTCTCTCGGAAAAATGATACAGATACTGGAAAAAACCAAAAATATAAAAAGTTGATAAATTGGGACTAGAATAATGGGTGAAGTTTCACCTTTACTATTGTAATGATGTTTGTACAACAAAACTATTTTATATACTTTTCAACTCACTACTTTAAAAGGTGCTTTCTCTTTAAAACACTGAACCAAAAGGTTGATTATTTGATTTATAACATAATTATTTACATAATGCTTTCAAATATGTATAATCCCTATTATACCTGAAATTTTAAAAACATATCCATCAACACAACTTTTTGGAACCACAGCTCAGTAAGTCCGTTCTGGTTGCTTTTCAACTGCCTGTAAGACACCTTCTTCCCAATAGACAAACTGACCTCTTACCCAAGTGTTTTTAAGCTTTGGTATAAGCTTTACCTTGTGAATGCCAAGCTACTAATACGCCCTCAGACTAAGTAAAACTAACACAAAACCACAGATTTTTCTTTCTGTTTCAACCAGACGAAGAGTTAAAGATGGCCTCACTCATTCTATTTTTAGAATTCAGATGATCACTACAGTTAGTTTACTGAAACCGAGGCTTCAGAAAGCTCAATACCAAGCTGGATGTGATGGCACACCTGAAACCCCAGCTCTCTAGAAGGCCAGGACACATGGGTCGCTGTGAGTTCAAGGCCAGCCTGTACTACCTAGTGAGACGTGTCTCAAAAAATAAATTAATTAATTAAAAAAATAAAGTACTGGGGATGCAGCTCAGTGCACAGTACCGCAAAATCAACAGCTGCATCAATTTATGCAAGTTCTTACACTTGTACAAATGCACTTGTGTTTATAACTGAGCACACTGCCACGCAGTACAGAATAGTTCTTCACAACCATCTTTGGGTGTGCACACGTGTCTGTGTGCATGTAGTGCTAGGGACTTAATCCATGTCCATTTGTATTGTCATTTTCTCTTTAAAAGAACATACGCATGACCTAAGCAAATTCCTGACACATGACTTATGCCAACAGACCATGGTCTGGTCATGTGCTGTCGGTAAGTTGCTCTTCACCTCTGTTTTTGACAAATATTTTAGTATCACTACCACAAAGAAACCACATAAAATTTAATAAGAAACTACATGGAAAAATGACAGGTTTTTTATGTGCTGATACATAAACATTTTGAAAAATGGTGAAAACACGATTTAACTTGCAAGCTTATGATAGGTAATTTTCTTTTTTTTCTCTTTTCACTCTCTCCATACCTCTCAGTAAGCAGGTGAACTCAAGTCTTTACACCAAGCCACATCCTCAGCCCTTTTTACTATTTTTTAATTTTCAGATAAGGTCTTGCCATGTAGCCCAGGCTGCCCTCACAATCCTTCCTCCTGGGTAGATAGGGTGCTGTGGTCACCGGCAGCCGGGTGCCCTACTTAGTAATTACAGATTACTGAGGTAATCTACATGCCTATTATGAATACAGAGTGACTAGGAGCACAGCATTCCACTGCAAGATGTGTGTGGTACCTTGTTCCTACAGAGAAAGGCCAGCAGAGTGCACCACTGCTCCTGTTTACCTCCTCCTCCAATCACGGGGGCCCGCTCATACCCGAGCACATTCACGAATCTTGCTGCCTGCCTTGGGGTGTCCAGCAGCCGTCCAGCTCGAAGTGGCTTCACATAGGAACAGACTGGCCTGTTTATGCCATTCTCATCCTAGAGGGAAGGGGGAGATATTATCTGGAGTGACGGACTGGTCATCCCCAATTTTAACAACTTCTCTTTTTATTTGCATTGGCCAAGTTTAGCCAAGAGTGAAGAGCAGGGAGAAACTGGCTCTGCAGAGAGAGCTTGGGCTGAGTAAGGAGCACAGGTGAGCGTCCACGCTGCGTCTGGGAAACAGGAAGTTATGACAGCCCAGCTTCTTCTGATACACACTGATGTGAGACAAACAATGAGCATTCCCCTTACATCTAGCACCAGCTTGTGAAGTGCTGTGCATATAACTTCTCTTTTAACCCAAGTAACATCCCTCGTTATGTTCATTCCATTGATGAGGAAATGGAAGCTACAGCTATGCTCCATAAGAAAGCCACTAAAACCATATGCAGTGATTTAAATTTTTCCTTTTAGAATTTATTTATTTATTTATTTAAACTTAACCAATACATAGAAATTGCATGTATTTATGAGGTACCATGTGATGTTTCAACTCAGGGTAGATATGGGTTCTCCAACATCTACCACATGATGTTTCAACTCAGGGTAGATATGGCTTCTCCAACATCTACCATGTCTTTATGGTGAAAATATTCAAAATCCTTTCTTCTAGCTTTTTTGTTTTGTTTTATCTTTTTGAGACTGGGTCTTGATACGCAGTTCAGGCTGGCCTTGAACTCACTTTGTAGCCCAGGCTGGTGTTGAACTCATAACGATCCTCCTGCCTCAGCCTACCAAGTGCTGGGATTACAGGCGTGCGCCACCACGCCCGGTTTCTTCTAGCTTTTTAAAAACGCACAGTGCGCTATTGTCATCTACAGCCACGCTGCTGTGCAGTGTAACACCGCATCTCTCCATTGTCTGCAGTGCTGGGGTGGACCTGGGCCGTTGTGCATCCCAGACCTTTCCCCTTCTTTCATCTGCCATTTGTCTGGCCTCCCAACCCCCACCTGGCTCAGACTTTGCGTGGCAAGTACCTGCACCTCCGGCTGCTACACAGACAGCAGAGCAGCGGTGTACTGACTGGCCCACCCTGCCCGCGTGTGGACACTGCTGCCACCTTGCCAGCCCAGTCTTTCAAGGCACAGACAGCACTGCTGGCAAGTCAGAAGCTACTTCTCTCCTTCCCAACATGAGCTAGCAGCGACCTCACTCCCAAGCTCCCTGTCTAGAAATAGAACCACATTTCATCTGTCCTCAATCTAGGAAGAACAGGTAGGGTAAAGCCAGATGAACAAGAAACATCCATCGGAATCATTTACTACATTATACTTATAGAGAGGCATCTATGTGGTGGTGAAGATACATATAAAAACATATTACTCATTCCTCAGAAGTTACAAAAAGAATAAGGAACAACCATTTTATGTTAGTCTGTTAAAGAGAAAATGTGGTTAAGAAATAAGAAAAAATGGAATCAAAGATAATACACACAGTCCCAGACTTAGAATTTCTCAACTCTGTAACACTGCAGAAGCTCTGTGCATCTTGTATTCTCATCTCAATTAGTAACACACAGGAGGATGGGATTTCTCCAGGCTGGGCAGCTGCAGCTCCCAGCCGCAGGATCACATCTACAAACAACTCCCTTTCTTCAGTGTACTGTGTTGCTAAGCCACTATACACAGTATGTTAGGTATATCAATGTGCTTCAACTTTCAATGCGTATACACAGTATGTTAGGTGTATCAATGTGCTTCAACTTTCAATGCGTATACACAGTATGTTAGGTGT